ATGAAAAATACTACTAAAATACTACTATTCTTACTAGTAAAAAAAATCCCCGTACCTGGATATCATCCTACTCGGAAAAAAAAGGAAGGAGGGAAGGAAGAAAGCAAGAAAAGGAATTCAAGCATTTTTAAGTTGCTTCTATTCTGACAGTAGTTAATTTCACCTAATGCTGTGAAATAACAGAGGATAACCTGGGGCATCTGTCACCATGACTGGGAGATATTGAGCTAAAAAGAACATTTTGAAACTGATGCCACATGAGAATGTCAAGCCTATTGTTACAAGGATTTTCCACTTTTATTCATTCCCTCCATAAACATTTATTGAGTGCCAGGTACATAAAGATCCAAGGGCTTTTAGTGAGGGGTGAGGACAGATATTGGGAAAGAATGCCCATAGTTCTCCCATCTAGTGGAGGAGATCCACACAAATAAATGATGCCCATAGGGAATGGAGATAAGAGTAAGCACCATCGTAGGAGCTTTGCACTGAATCAGGAGAAGCTGAGGAGCACTGGCAGGCCCACAGAGGAAGAGATAAACCAGTGCACCCATATGGGACAACATCTAACCTGTCCTTCCTAATGAAGCCTGCTGGAAACCCACAACATGATGTAATGAAACCCAATGAGGCCTCCAAATAATCTCCTTAGGCTCTATGTGGGTCAGCAGAATTAACGTTTATGTCATTGTAACTTCTGCTTTGTGTTTCACACAAGCCCTAATAGAAAATACAAAAACCAGAGGGATTTTCTTTTGGGAAATTATTTTAGTCTCTTTTACATTCTATAAGAGACAGAAAATCAAAGTACCTAAAATAACATTCAAAAGTAAGATACAATTACAAGACGCACTGAAAATGGCAAATTACTGTTATTTACAAAACAGGTTGGTCCCACATATTTTTTTGTTAACTTTTAAACCCATGAGAATTACAAGGCAAATCAAATCCATATAGTCTTAACTCATTTACACCTATTATTCATCAACTTAAAATGAATAACTGAAGGTCCAAAAAACTTTTTTTTCTTAGAGACAGACCACATTTAACCCCCAGAATCTAACTTATATAGACTTAAGTTTAACCAAATATGCTGAACCTGCAGGGCCTAAAGAACCCCCAAAAGGTAGAGATAAGTCCTTGTGCATCCTAGAACGTGACTTGATTTTATCCCGGAATAACAAGCATGCCACAGCCAATCAGCTCCCACTCAACCCAAGAACGTAGTAAGATCATCTCTACCAGTCTAGTTTCCCCACAACTAATATTTTATTTTTGACTTTCTGGCCTAATGTGATGGGAATTCTGCAGTTATCAATTTTCAGAAAGAAACAGCTAAAAAGTTTCATTTACTGAGAAGACAGAGCTAAGAATGATGAGAGACATTCCTGGGGCACTGCCTTTAGGGGACAGTGGCCTACCTCTGCTGTGTGCTGTGTGTGTGTGTGTGTGTGTGTGTGTGTTTATGTGTATGCGTGTGTGCACGTGCGTGAGAAAAACAAATAAATGAATGGGAAAACCAGGAATCTCAGTAAGTTAAAGAAGTTAAAGTACAAAGCAGCCTGGTTTTACACAGCCAGACCAAAAAGGAATTGGCTAGATGCCGTTTTTCAGGAGCAATTTGGCTGCAAAAATATTTGGAAAAACAAACAAGCAAAACCAGAAAACAAACAAAACTCTGAATTCCTCCATGAAGAGTGATGCAACACCATGAGATGATAGAAAAAAAAAATTCCTCACTGTCATCGGACTCCTAGGCACTTAGTTTAGCAAGATTTTTAAATCTCATGACCAAGAGGAGCACAATAATCACCCTGTTGTTTAATGTTCATTTCACCTGTAGAGCTAAGTGGTAACTTTTACCCAGGCAGTCCACCAAGGCCTTAAGCAGGTTCCAATTTAGGAGCAGAGAGTTCAGTTGGTAGAAGAAAACTACCCTGGGAAATTTAGCAATCAGGGCAGGAAGGAAATTTAGAAATCAGGGCAGGAAGGACCTTCTCCCTCCATTAATTGAGAGAGCTTTATACACGTTCTCCTGACTGCTCGTACTGCAAGAGGGCCTTGGGTGTTCCTGGACCTGGACTCCTAGCTTCAACATGAACACTTAGCAAAAAAAAAATCCAACATGTGTTCTCTACTTTCCCCTTCCCTCTAACTTTTCCATTGGCCAAGGTGGTTGTCAGGGGCTTCCCAACTTAGCCTTGGCTCCTTGGTATGAGTTTTCCAGAGAAGTCAATACTATCTGCTATTTGGTCTTGCCTTTCTCCTAGCCAAGTGCCAGAATCTCAAAAGACTCATTTGAAAAGGATGGTTCCTCTTGAGTGTGCAATGTCTATAATTATGATTACCAGGCATTTGAAAAGTATTCTAATAATAGAGTTTCTACAAGCATACACAGATAATGGAACACATTAATAACTATGAAGAGAGGTAGTAATTCTTGCCTGCCATTCTGTGCCCACACGCTAAAAGGAAAGCCTGACAGAGAGCACCGCCCATCGCCAGCCTTCTGGGTATGTCTGCACCTATTGTTATACCTGCTCACTCAGCTATGGGCCTCAGCAGGAGATGACTCAACATGCCCAAATGTTAACTCAGTATCTAATCTCAGCCTGCTTCTCCCCACCCTTTATTGGTAAAGGGTGACCATCCATCTAGTTGTTCTAGTCACGTTCCTTCCTCTCTCTTTCACTGCTGTTATTCAGTTGGCCACCAAGTTCTACTAACTTGTCACGTGCTTCTCTGTCCCCTACTCTCCATCACTACTTCTGTCTTAGTTCAGGACCTCTACCTCTGTTGCTCAGATATTAAAACATCTGTTAACTAGTCTCCTTGCCTCCAAGTTAGTCCTTCATGAATTTCTCTTCTACTGTGCCTCCCGAACTAGATTCCCAAACTTAAGCCTTGCAAACAATGAAATCATAACCATATCTGAAGAAAACATAGGTGAATATTTTTATAATCTTGGACTGCAAAAAGCGTTTTAAGCATGACATAAAACCTAGAAGACATAAATATGGTGACTTAAAAAAATCTCCTGTAAGATAAAGAACACTATAATCAAAGAATAAAAAAACAACTGGGGAAAATATCTGTAACATATATGGTAGGGGACATACTAATTTCCTTAATATACAAAGAGTTCTTACAACTCACTAAGAAAAACCTATCTGTGAATTTGAAATAACATCTCAAGTCCATCTCTTAGCCACACCAGAAGATGATAAGCTAATGCAAATAACTATAAACTGTGATGAAGGCACAAAGTGTCCTGTAAAAACTAGGTATTGAAAAATTGGTTAGACATCACTGTTAGCAAACCTGCTTCAAAAGCCCTGCCTAGATTCAATTATACCACACGTCAACACTAAGATACCTTTAAGCAGTTGGAAAATGCCTCTGGACTCTCTTGTTTACGCTTTTGATACACAGTGGAGCATGTTTGCAGAGAACAAATCATTCCTTGTAAAGCTGGAAGGGAATGGAAAGCCTTTTTGCCTACATTATTGATGTTTTAGCTTTGAGCCAGAAAGTTAAAGTCTCCAGGAACATTTCTGAACTCACACAACACCAAACCCTATTATTCCACCAGCACAGCCTGGGCTGGAAGGCTAGAACAAATGCCCATCAAATGACACTAATTGGCTTTTCCATTTTGATCTCAACTAAGTGACAAAAGAATATCCCATGACAAGAAGGCAGAGTATCAGCAAAGTGACACTGCTGACATAACTGCCACAAAGACACTCTACCTAGGCATATGATCTTCCAAAAGTAAGGTATCAGAATCCTAAATGCAAATAGTACAGATGACTCATTTTTCAAATGAAAGCTCAGATGAGATGGTAAATCTACTGCACCCATAAGAAAAGATAAGTTTTATTAGGAAAGTGAATAATTCAAGATGCTAATATAGCTTTTTATATGGATCTAGAACACAGGCCAATTCACCTACTGTAAGATTACATAGGAATCTGAGGCAAAAGCCCTAGACAGTATGAGTGTCCATATGCCAAAAGAGAATTTAAAATATGAAGCTGAGACTAATAACTGGAGGGTAATCATGAGTAAATTTGGGGAAAACAAAGGAGCATAAACCCAACCAAACAATATCGGAAATTAGAAAATCTAACCAATTAGTTCTCAGCCTTGAAAATCTAAGGCTGTATTGAGGGCCTCAAGCATCAAAACACCACCATTACACAATAGATGGCCAGTATCTGAATACACGACTTTTTGTTGTTCGAACCATCTTTAGTCTGTGAGCACTTAACTCACAATGTTGTTGAGAATTACGATACAGAAATGAATTCGATTTTCTAAACAGCTTTAAAAAAAAGACAGTTGGATTTTTACATTTCTGACGTGTTTGATGAATATACAGAAATTCAAACCTTGATTGATGGTTTCTCAAAACCCATTTGATTCTATTATTTGCCTCTGGCGAAATTAATAATATATTCTCCCAACAAACCTAGAGGCACAGGAAGCCATTGTTCATTTTATTCCTGGCTGAAATGGACTCAATGGCTTTTGAAAACGAGCATCACATATGGAGATAAATGATGTGATCGTTGAGGTGGCTTGATGCTGCAAAGGACAGCCAGTCTAGGACTGCTCAACCTAAGTGAGCACAAAACATAACAAGAAAACCTAATTCCACCATAGGCCTCCTTCCCTGGCCATGCAGAAAAAGAGTTGTGCCTTATTTCAAGTGGTGAGTGCCAGGAAATACTGTAACATTGCTATTTCCTTGGAGGGTATTAGAGAGAAACTAACTGTAGTCAGCAGGTCAGAATAAACATTACTGAACTAATACATATCACCCTTGGCTTTGTCTCTGGCAGAACTGAGAGGGCCTCATCTGAGGCCCGACGCTTATATGCCAAATTAACAAAAAGCAAACAGCACAAAACCTACTTAAAATTAACAGGATTCTTCCTTCAGGCCCCCAGTTTTTAAGAATACCAACGCTGGGAAAGATAGCTGTGGAGACTCACTCTGGGAAGCATAAAGTCCCTCCGCAGCTCTGTCTTCATGCCCATCATATTCCCTGCTGGACAGTTGCCTGTTGGCAGTCTCCAGACGATCTGTGCGCAAAGAGGAAACGATTACAAAGAATTGCATTTGGATCTAAGTCATCATCCAACCGAGAAATTGCATGGGTGCCAGGAGCTGGGTAGGAAGAGATGCTCAGGCAGGAGCTCAAAACTGAACAACTCTTGGGGAGGAACAATATGTTCCAAAATATCAAAAGAAGTCTTCAGATGCCATGCTGTGCCTTTATGCAATCTAATGCCAAGGTACGCACCAGCAGTAGGCAACGAAGAACAGGTTCTGAGAAAAATCGCTTCGCTGCCTACAAGGCCAGCAAACCTCTGATCTGAAGTCCTCAAGAAGAGGTTGAGTCTCCTTGGCCTCAAACCCAGCCCTAGTCTAACTGTGACCATCAGCCCTATGTTTTAGCCAGTGACTGCTATCTATATTTTGGAAGCAAAAAAGTAAAAATAACAATTAAATAAATACTAGAACAAAAGTCAAAATGACCTAATGGATGAAGAGTCTACACAGTGAGTTCTATGTTTGCTCAAAGCACTTGGTAAATCTTCATTTATTTAATAATTCAGCCTAATACGTATTTATTGACTGTACATGATACCCAAGACAAAGCGTTCGTAGTAACAGAAATGGCTACTGGAACTCACCAGTACATTGAGTATTTTGACATATGAGGCAACTGAGACATGGCTTGGCTGACTGAAAGTGAAATAAAGTTTTACGGGTCAAATCATTCTGCACGTCGGAGGTTGCCAAGATCCCGCAGCAGGTGGCTTCTAGCTTTCAGGAAGTTTATATATATCTACTCTCTTCACAACTGTGGGCTTTTTTTTCCTCCAAGAGGGACATATGTCTAGCTCTGTCTTCTATATCATACCTAGCAAGTGTTAACTGCTGGCTTTCAAAGAATGCTACCAAATGACTCAAGTTGACGTGGGAACGGATGCACATCCAACATTGGTCTTTTCAAACATTCCCATTCACATAGTCACTAGTCACTGTTAAGTACTTTTATTTCATTTTCTTTTAATTTTGAAATTATGTTTTAATTTAAATTTTTAAATTTTTATTTATTAATTTTTTACTGAATAAATTTGACGTACTGTTAAGCACTTTAAAGCAGAGAAGTGGTGGCACACATAATCCCTCACTGTCACGGACTCATGTGCAGAGGTGTCACTTCTCAGCTCAATGCTGCAACCTACAACCTACAAGGCAGAAAAGAACAATTCTGCTCTTGGAGTGCCCCTTCCCCAGGTGGTTGGAATTTATAAGATTATCTAACACAATTTAGACCTGAAGTCAGGCTCTTAGCTACATGGGGAGTTTAGGGTAGAGAGAACGTGAAGAGAACTTGACATGCCTCGGAGGTCTCTGTTGAAATCATGAAGTCTCCGAATCTCGCCTTCTAGTTTGTTTCTCATGGCCTTGTCCAGTGACTCTCTCTTGGTGGTAGACTTGACCAGACTCTCATAGGCTTCCGAAATTCTCTGAAGTTCTTTTTCAAACTAAAAGAAAGAAGTGGCAGAAAAGTAGGACTTCTGACATTCTCATTGGTGCCTTAGTTATACTGATTCTTTGACATTCCAAGCATGAAGGCTGTATCTTCAATGCAGCCTTTCTGCATCTCAAGTTTCATGTCTACCAAATTGTGTCATTGATTTCACTCCCCACCTGGGCTACATGAGGATCTTGTGAATAGCAGGCTCACAACTCTGGCTGGACTGTCTGATGTCACCTTGTAAAAGTGTCTCTGTACAATCATCAGAAAGGGGTAAATTTAAACATAACTTAAATCTCTTATATTTTGTATGGTAGTTTGTAACTATTATTATTATTCCCAGTCAATATAAGGGAAAACATTAAAGTACAGAAAAATTAAAGAACTACAACTAGAACTCAAATTTCCAGATTCTAAGTAAAGTGTTCTTCCAGAGACCCTCCTACCCATCCTCAAAGGAAAATAAAATCCACTCGAGGAGAGGCTTCGTTACTTAGCACTTTTACCCCTTTGTCTATGAAATTATCTACATAAAGGTCTTGTATCTAATAGTATACAAATGTACAACAGAAAAGCTCTTTCTATGAAGGAATCGACAGATATGGCATTAAAACCAGCTTTTCCGTATTTCACTAAATGAAAAGCTATAACTGGGAGAGCTTTTACTCTATGGCATATATAAACCTACAACAAGGATCTGTAACTGTTATAACAGGAGTCTAATATAATAGTATGTTTTTGAAGTAGATATCAATAAATCTCAATTTATTGTTGTGTAACAAATGCAGGAGAAGGGTAAAGAGTGCCTGCAAACATGGAACTTGAACTGCTGCCACAAGTTGGAATCAGAGGCAAAGCAGGGCAGGTTGAGAGCACCAACGCCCCTCACTGGGCACCAAGAGACCTGCACCATGTTCTCGGTCCCTCCACAGGAGAGCTATGTCACCATGAGCCAGGCACCCCAACTGCCTGAACCCCAACTTCCCAGATCAGAAAGTCCCTGCTGAGACCCCTATAAATAACACATATCCTCACAGATATCTATTGTACACTTACCATGTGTCTGGGTGCTAAGGAGACAGAACTAAGTAAGACAATTTCTGGTCTTCAGGAGCTCACAGCCCAGAGCTGGCCTGTACCCAGACACATACAGTTCTGCAATGCAATGTGAGATGGGCTGTGGTGGTATGATGCTATGACAGCCTAGAGATCAAGTCATTAATGTTGCAGGGGTGAGAAGGGAGTTCTTTAAAAAAGATTTCAGAGGAAATGTCATTTAAAATGAGTACTGAAGGATGAACAGGAATTTGCCAAGCAGAAGAGAAAAGGTCAAAGGGGGCCGGCCCGGTGGCGCAAGCGGTTAAGTTCACGCGCTCCGCTGTGGCGGCCCAGGGTTTGCAGGTTCGGATCCCGGGCACACACTGACACACCGCTTGGAAGCCATGCTGTGGCGGCATCTGATATAAAGTAGAGGAGGATGGGCATGGATGTTAGCTCAGGGCCACTCTTCTCCAAGAAAAAAAAAAGGGGAGGATTGGCATCGGATTAGCTCAGGACTAGTCCTCCTCACACACACAAAAAAACAGAACTAAAAAAAAGAAAAAGAAAAAAGAAAAGGTCAGAGGACTCTGGCGTTCTAGGCAGAAGATGGGGCGCGAGCCAAGACACCAAGCCATGAAGGAAAGTGCACGTCTCTGACATGACAGGTAGTCCAGGGATGAGAGCAAGGTGCAGGTGACAGGAGCTAGGGCCAAAAGGAAGGACTTCACATTATGGGCAAGGGAGAATTATGGGGATGGGAGGGCCAACGGAGGAGAGGGTTATATTTAGAAGGGCAGCATGATCTTATCTGTGGATGTGGGTGGAGGTAGAGAGAAGAGGCAGAAGAAAAGAAGTCCAGGTAAGAAGCTAATATAAATAGTTCAGTGGTAGATGACAACGGCATGAACTAGGATAACTAAAAGGACAAATTCCAAAGATACTAAAGAGTAGAGTCAATAGGTTGTAGGGACTGGTTGGGACAGTAAGGGAGAAAAAAATCAAAGACAACATAGACCTTCATGGCTTAGAAGACAGAGTAGTAAGACTCAACCAAGATAGATGATCATGAGAGAAGCAGGTTGACCAAAGAAAGAAAACCAGTCCGGTTTTGGAGATACCAAGTTTGAGATATCTGCAGAACATCCTGGTGAGGATTTCTAGCTAGCAGGTAGAGATACAGGGCTGAGAGTTGGAAGAGCAGTTGTGTCCTTGCGTACAGATGACAGATGAAGTCATAAAGTGGAGACCACTTAGGGAGATCAACAGAAGATTAAAGGGCCAAGGATGGGGAGCATTAACACTGCAGGAATAGGCGGGGCAGAAAAACCAGTGAGAGATTCTGAAGCCAGTGGTCCCATGGAAGCCAGGAAGCCAAAGACTCAAATAAGGAGAGAGAATGTGGTCAATGCCCCAGAGGTTACAGGGGAGCCAAGACATGTCTGAGAAGAGGTCAAAGCAGAGGCTGGAGAGCATCCGGGCTTCTGCTTAGCGGCAGCCAACCAGGGCAGAACCGAGAATACCAAGGCCCCTTCTGGCACCATGTTATTTTCCCAAAGGCTTCCTAATACCAGAGTTGGTTCTTCCATGGTCCCCTCATTTCAGCAAGGCCTTTCTGTCTCCTCCAAAGATATCACGAATTGTTGGTAATGTGGCAGCAGAGAGAACAGCATGTCCTGAATCCTGTTCATAGTTCTACCGCAAATTATGTTCCTTCCTTTTAATTTTGTTTTCAAAAGAGATGGCTCCAAAACATACTACCATTTCTATGCTAATTTCCTCTATAAAAGGTGGCCTTTGTTTTCGGACAGAAGGGCATGCCGCAGGGACAGTCCTCCTCAAGACCGAAGGGCATCTCCTAGTGAGTCGTTAAGGAAGCTGAGAGCACCATAAACCCTGAGGTGTCCTCCCACGAGACGGTGCTCAGGCTTCAAGTTCACGCTTCAAGCTCACGACAACTAGGAAGCCTTCCCCAACTACACTACCATAGGAACTTTTCTCCATCTGATTTCATAGCACTTTCATCTGTTGTATTAACCTGACCAGAATTCTGATGCATTTGTGTCTCTGGTTTGACTGTCAACTCCTTGAGGGCAGAAATAGCCCATTATTACAGCCCTGTAATTAGAACTGTGTCCTGCCCATGACAAAAATACTGACTGATTAATCAATCTTTAAATTTATAACTCCTAAAGACGGACATGGGCACTGATAAACTATACCCGATCGTGGATTCTTTGCTTTCACTAAAAGAACTTCCCTCTGCACACTATAAAAGGAAACCGCAGGATCCCGATGACAGTGTACTTATGATCTCAGCTACTAAACCAGTCAAGAATTGGGATATGGTTATGTGCTTGTAACTACTAAGAGAGAAAGGGCAAGGGTCTTAGTTCAGGACTAGGTATTTCCTGTGACAAATGACAGCTGTCATGATGGAGACAGATTATAAAAGACAGAATGACGACTAAACGTAGAAAGTTAAAGAGATGCAGAATTTGATTCAACATAAGGAGGAATCTCCTAACTACATTTTCCAGAAGGCTACCCAGTAGTGAGCTTCTCTTCTCTGGAAGCATTCAAGCAAAAAATGAATGACCTTGAGGCTGGCCCAGTGGTGTAGTGGTTAAGTTCGTGTGCTCTGCTTTGGCGGCCCAGGGTTTGCAGGTTCGGATCCTGGGTGAGGACCTACACACCGCTCATCAAGCCACGCTGTGGCTGTGTCCCACATACAAAATAGAGGAAGATTGGCACAGACGTTAGCTTAGGGCCAACCTTCCTCACCAAAAAAAAAAAAAAAGAATGACCTCCTTTCAGGGACATGAAGCAAGGATTCCTAGGGGGTGGAAAACTGGACTAGAATCATTTTAAGAACTAAGTTGAAAGCTCTACGACTTGTGATTGCACGTTCCTTCAGAAGGAGAACCACACCCTATTTTTCATATCCCCCATGTCCAGAACATCTTAAATCCTCCTTGATGTTTGTTAAAGATGAAGGGAAGGTTGGGACAGACTGGCTTTGATATAAAAACCCTCTGGGCCAGTTCAGAGTCTGAGTATGACCATATGAAGAAAATATGGGGTCTGCCTGCAGAGCTCCCCTCCTCCTTTCCAGCCCAGATGTCAGGAAGCTCTCAGGCCAGGCCGTTAGAGCCTCTGAAATCAGAGAAGCACTCCCTGTCCCAGACACAGAACCACAAGTAGAGTGGGAGGCCCTGAGAAAACTTCAGCCATTCCAAGCTCTAGATACTGCCTTCTTCCCTGAGCACCTTTGCAGGCACAGCTCAGCGACCCAAAGGACCGAAGACAGGCCTGCTGTCCAAGCCACAGACTGCCCAATCAAAGCCACCAGTGTTTCTCTGACAAAAGAAGAGGGTCTTCACCAAAGCAATCCCGGGGGAGCCATAAATGCTTCGCCCTGTCCCCTTAAATGGCCATCTCTGCCCCGATGGTTTCTGAGGCCAACCCACTCAACAGCCCACAGCCTGGTCCTGCTGGAAACTCCGTTCATTAATTATATTTCAGGGAAACTGGGAGGAAAGACAAGCAAAATGAGTGACCAAAAGGAAATACTGAAAAACAACTGCTCTTTCTGGGGGTCCTCGACCATCATTCCAACACTAACAGTGATAATCACCACCTTGCGCCTCTCTGGAAACAGTCTTCGTATCTAGGCTGTGCTTTGGCAGTCTCTGAGTTTAGTTGTTCTTTCCTGCTGTGTTCCTGGCACAGTAGGCATAGGCTAAGCCCTGCAATTAGAAATTCATCTATTTTTGGTTCTGCCCTTACAATGAATCTTTACAAGTGCTCCCACTGCTGTGAGGATCCCAGCTTGGATGTTATTGCTGGCACAGGGCAGCCACATCCTACAACGCAGTACAGTGGCTCCACCCAACGTGGGGGTTGTTGTCACTGAGAAGTAAAGTTGTCACCTCCTCTGACAGTCCTCTCCCCAGATCTAAGGCTTTTAGGCAGCTGCTGAAAGACAACTGGGCAGTGAGGTTGATGCAGAGGGAAGACCTGGGATGAGGATGAACTCGGGAATACAAGCCATGAAATGTTAAGCCACAGATTTCATGCAGCTCTTGTCTCTTGGTCCTAGATGTTGAGAACAGCTATGGAACCAGTGATGAATATGGCAAGTATCTATCAAAATATGAGTTTTTAAATTGACAATTCCAGCCGGACATGTGACAGATTAAGGAAATGTAATATTTTTGGAACCATTTATAACAGTCAAGGGACTGAAGGAGTTTTGGGTTCCAGAAGGGAAACAGCTTTTGATTTTTCTCCTTTTTTCAGAAGTCATCAAAATCCTTTTGGCCACAAAGTTTAAGAATCATCCCCTGTGTAGGGAAACTGAGTCACTGGGAGATTGATTTTTTTGTTTTTCAATATAGACATATACATCAAAATCAAGAAAGAAACTTAGATAATTAATATATATTAAACAATACTGTGTTTTATGTGTAAAAAAAGAAAATCAAGAAAGAGATGCGTTACACATCAATAAAAAGTAAATGTCAATTAAACAGTCAATGAAGAATAACAAGATCTCCCAATTTCTGCACTTGCCATGTAGTTGTTCAAAAATATCCATGTGAAAAGGTCCAGAACCAGACTCGGCCCTCAGGCGGGTGTGCACAACTCCTGGACATGTCTGTCACAGGGCTTCATTAGGGAAAAGAAAGAACTACTCATTTCCCAGGAAGTGCTGAGTTGGTCCTTCCCAATTTTCAGTCTGGACCTGGAAAGAAACTGCCCCAGGGGGTGTCAGAGGCAAGCTTAGGCCTGAGCAGGGACTTACAGGCAAGGCTGGGAGACAGCATGCTTGTTTCCCAACTTCTAAGGGTGCGACTGGGGTAGGAGTGAGGCCACAATCTTCAGGCAGCCCGTTTGTTTCTAGCTCTCATTTTTTTCTCTCCAATAAAGGCAGCCAGAGCTCTCCGAGCCAAGTCTGGTCTTGACTCCAGGGAGCTCCAGACCCTTTCAGTGGAAGCTCCGCACAAACGTGCTGGGGCAGATTCTGTCCGGGAACGTTTGCACCAGCAAACCCCCTGCTCCCAGCTGTTTACTGCCAGCCCTCAGGAAATCAGGAGCCAACTGCTCTGAAACCCCGACCAGCAAAAAGACCAGGCTTTACCTGTGAAATCATATATACCTGTGAAATCGAGTATAGTGAACACTGGATGGGCCAGCTAGGAGCATTAAGTGTCATATAGAACCCAATGACCATGCTCCTATAGTCAGGCAGGGTTTATATTCCTACCGTTTCTATTTACAAAAGCCCCTGATTGCCCAGGACAGATCTAAGCACTTAGACTCTTAGAAAATCCCCTACCACACAGGCCTCCCTGCCTCCAGAAAGGAACCTCGAGTGCCCTGTGGCTCTCCTGCTCTAAAACATCCTACTACCTCTGGCCCCTCGCCTCTTCATTCTACCTGTAGCATTGGAGGTGATGACGTGTAGGTTGTCATGAAATCACTGCCCGCAACAGTTCACGCTGCTGGAGGTTTTCCTGTTGACTTTGGCTCTCAGCATAAAGCCCTAGGAATGAAGGCTGCCACACATTCTAATATTCCATGATAACTACCCGGGGTGGAATTACACAGCATCTCCCCACCTGATAAATCACGAGCATGAGGAGAGCACACAGTAACTCGTACTCGACCCTCACTGCTTCTTGCAGAGACTAGCTAATGAAACAATTGGGGAAATCACAAGCTTCCTGTCTGAGATTCCCAGATTTAAAGGAAAAATCTGTCTCTCTCAACTCATTCCTCTGTGTTACTCTCAGTGTTCCCTCTTCCACACTGTCTACCTGGGAAATGCTACTTAGCCTCTGAGTCTCAGGTCCAGGGCCACCTCCCTTGGACCTACTGTGGCTCCTAGACTTTCTACTGCAGGTATTAGCTTAAGCAACTCTCTCCCTTTTGGACTCTAAGTTCCTCCAAGGCAGGCACTATGTCATATTTATTTTTGTCTCCCTAAAGCTTTGCACAGTGCCTGAAATACAAAAGGATCTAGTTAAATGTTGGTGAGTGAGTCACTGAATCAACCCCTGCAATACTGTGATTTATAAGAAATATATATTCTGGTCATTCAGATAAGCAAAATACATTTCTCAGATATATTTGGTCTTCCTCCATGGTTCTTGGCTCACATCTCCCAAAATCCTTGGGATTTCCTGATTGATAAGAGCAATGGCAGCATCTTTGGTTATAGTACTTGGTCTCTTGCGCTTAGTTCCCGAAAATGTTTCAGAGTCGCAAAGGTGAAATGGGTGTCTTATTATTCTCAACAAGCCCTTTCCACCACAACTGGTTTTATGTTAATGAAGGTGACTTTTGCAAAGCACCTAAGGATGCGGGCTGGTTGCCAGGTGAACCAACCACGAACAGAGGATCAGAACTTTCAGTTCCCCCCTTGATTTCCGGGGAGGAGTGAGGGGCTGGAGGTTGGCTCAATCACCAATGGCCAATGATTTAATGAACCGCGCCTGTGTAATGAAGCTTCCGTAAAAAACAAAAAAGGACAGGGTTTGGACAGCTTCCAGGTTGGGGAACTAGAACGCTTCCACGTGCCACTGTGCTGGGCCCCAAATCCACAAGGACCGAAGCTCCTCTGTCTGGGCTCTGGGCCTTGCCCTACGTATCTCTTCGTCTGGCTATTGATTCGTATCCTTTTAATATCCCTTGTAATAAATTGGTAATCTAGTGAGTCAACAGGTTTCCTGTGAGCCGTTCTCGCAAATTAAACGAACCCAAGGAAGGGGTCTTGGGGACCTCTGATTTATAGCCAGTGGGTCAGAAGTACAGGTAACAACCTGGACTTGCGATTGGCATCCTGAACTGGAGGGGGTCGTTGGAACCTCTGATTTGTAGCTGGTCGGTCGGAAGCACAGGTAACAACATGGGCTTGCAACTGGCCTCTGAACTGGAGGCTGGTCATATGGGACTGAACCTTTTACCTCTGGGATCGGGATCGATGCAATTTCTAGGTAGATAGTGTCAGAATTGAGTTGAATTCTTGGACACCCTGCTGGTGTCTGAGGTGCTTGTTGGTGTGGGGAAGCCTACACACATACACACACACACTCGACTTGGGTCCAGGAACCTTTTCAACCCCCCATGAGCAGGTAAAGCATTCTGTCCCTTCCAGAGAACCTTCTCCCTCCCCTTCCCTGGGGAAGTCACATACCTTGTGGAGCTTGTCAGCATTGTCATAGTAACCCTGAAGTTCCTGGTGAAGCACCCGGTTCTCCTCTGTTAGTATCTCCACCATCTGCTGGGCTCGCTCCACGATCGCAAACGCATCTGGACCAAGCTGCTGGCTAGGGGAGGCGGCAGGCGGGGGCTGTGGAGCTGCCAGGGTCATGGGAAGCGGAAGTGGCAAGGAGACGGAGTGCAGAGGCCCGCTGACAGAGGAGTTCTGGGAGGACATCGGGCTGTGCTGCTGCACTGTTGACGGGAAAGGAAGTTGGCATGGGCGGCTGCAAGGGAACGGAAGACCAGTAATCAGACCCCAGGGAAACGGGGGGAGGAGGAAGGAAGTCCCAACAATCTACGTGCTATCGATGGCTTCCACTACCAGAGGTCGTCAACGCACTTTCCAATGCTAGGGTGAGCCCAGCAGGTTCATCCTTCATTCCACAGATATTTAATGTGTTCTCCATCTGAATCAGCACTGTTCTGTCACTGGGGATACAGTGACCAAGACAGACATGGTCCCCGCTCTTGTGAAGCTCACATTCTTGGGGAAAGAGACAAGAACGCCATCAAACAGTAAACAAACTAAGCCAGGTATTCAAAGGAAAGAGTACTCTCCAAAGAATAAAGCAGAGTGACATGACAGTAAACGACTGAGTGGCTGGTTCACATTGAGAGGTCAAGGAAGGAGTTGCTGAGAAGCAGATGCTTGAGTTGAAGTCTGAACGGCAGACAAGAAGGAACCAGTGGTTGGGGGGAGGGATAAAGAAGTGGGAAAAGGAGTATTCCAGGTAGAGGAATGGTGCACGGGCTTAAGGCAGGACTTAGCACAGCACGATCAGGTAGGAGAAAGCAAACTGACAGAAAGTACAGCCAGCAGAAGCAGTACGAGGTAAGACTAGAGGGATGGGCAAGGGCCTTTGTAAGCCAAGGCCAGCCCTTCCCTTAGGATGTAAGGGGAGGCCAGCGGAGGAGCTGCCTTTACCGAGTGGTGTGCAGATAGAACGTACAGTGTCAAGAATGGATGTAGCAAGAATGGATGAAGGGTGCCCAGAGAGGAGGCCTGGGTGTGGTCTGGGTGAGAACAGATGAAGGCCCACGGGGTAGCAGCAGAAGACAAATAATAGATCAATTTAGGGTATGCTTTACATATATCATGGATGGGGAGAGAGAAAGTGAGGAAAAGTCAAAAATTACTCCTAGACTGTAGGCTCTACACAAATGAACAGGGGTACCATTTAATGAAATGGGCAATTCTTGGGGAAGAAACTAATTTTTTGGCTTTGATTTTCTGGGGTGGGGAGGTCAGGGGGTCAAAAGTCTGATTTTAGCCATATTAAAAAGAACACATAGAGGTGTCCCTTGATGGTTCAACTTCCTGGTACTAGCTCCTATATTTGAAACCATGAATTTCCATCTCCTGTCTCCACTCCCTAACAACCTCCTCCTCACCATTCTGTTAACCTGTTTCCTAAGACTCATGGTATTTTCTTCCAGCCTAAGACAAGGGCTCTTAACAACAACTTTTACAGGTATAAAAAGCAAATAGTCTTGATATCTAGTTTTCCAACCACAGCTGTCTCTCTTCTCCAGCGACTTGGGAAAACTAGTTTTCTTGTCAACCCCCTCCACCTTTAGGTCTCAATCTGGGAAGTAGGGCGCTAAGAATTATCAGCAACCCCAAAATCATCAACATTCTGTATCAAAGGGCCGAGTCCTTTGCAGATCCAGCTCCTCCTAATCTGTAACAGTTAACACGTGTCACCTCTGGTTACTTGTGGCCACCACAGCCAAAGCTCTCCGAGCTACCCTCATTTCTCCTGGGAGGTTGCCTGGCCTTGTATTTTCCCTTTCAGTATACTTGCTGGAATGTTTCTGGACCTTGTCAGCCTCCATGTCTCTTATTTTGTAAGTGTTTCTTGTAGCCAGGATTCCTCTGAATGCCGACTCCCGGCAGCTAAATGTCAAACTCTACAAGAAAATTTGACAAGGGTCCCTTAGAAACACCTCAGAATAAACCCAGCAGATCCTAACTGAGTAACCAACCATAGACCCTGCTTTAATGACGAACATCAGAGTGCCCCACCTGGGCTTAGGAGATATTTCCCAACTAGACTTCCTTATGCCTTTGATCTAGAAGCCCCTTCCATTTCATATTAAACTAGCTGGGATCTAAATTCCCCAAGGCAAGGTGGAGAACCATGGAGTCCCATGCGATTCTTTATTCCTTAAGTGACCTTCACCCTCCAGCCTCCCTCAGATTTCAGAAAGGAATGTTGTCTGTGGGGAGATGTAAACCATCCCTCCTCCCTCCCTCTCCACACCTATTACATAACTATCTGGCCATCTTTAGAAATAAAACATTTCTGCATTTGGATGAATTTGTGCCCCTTCCACACTGAAGTATGTGTGAATATGTGTCGCCCTGTGCATATAAGGAGGTCTGGGTATATGAGGTCCAACTCCATCTCCAGCGCCATTCATAATGCCCAGCTTTCACCCCAGATTACAGGAACTCCTATCAGGCAAGGACCCAAAAAGCCACAGATCTGTTACTGTGCATAGGAATAAGTGCATTCCTGCAGGCTAGCTAAATAGTACAGTGCATTTTTCATGGAAAGAGGTTACCTTGGCAAGAGGCAAACTACCACAAATGACACTGCCTTATTTCAAAGGCAGACATCCATTCCCACTCCTAAGGACTCCCTTCACACTTCGTCCAATGCAAGGGATACACATGGTATGGCCCCTTGGAGCTGGGGTGGCACAGATCAGCCTGCAGCCCTGCCCTCCGAAGCATCAGGGCTGCCCTTTGACCTAGGCAGCTTCGGGCTGCGGCTTCTGTCTTTTAACATTTATTGAACTCTGGAATTTGGAACTCACTTACAGTCAATGATGGGCTTATCTTCTCAGTCATCCTTTCCTGTTATATAACAAAAAGGAGGTGTTTTCTTAATGCCAGCCTAAGTCATCCATGATGGTGACTAGTTACCTGAGTGGCAATGCAGGAAAAGGGTGTTTGCCAAGCTTAAGGGACAGGAAAGAATGGGCTTTCTCAAAATGGGAATTCTCCTATTAAACAGAGAACACTGGCTTCACAAATAACTCGGTTATACATTCAATAAACATCACATTACAACAGATGATGTGCAGGCAGGAGAGCAAACCCCTACTCCTTGGCTCCACTACTCAGCCAGCTGGGGTCGGTGGGCTCAAAGATCTATACAGGCAATTTGGACTTAGTGTAAATGAGGGGGAAAGAGTGTCGGGAGAGAACAGGAAAATTTCACACAAGATCATACCAGTGCTATGGAATAACCTATCCTCAGTTTCCAAAGATAATACTATTGATCAGCCATCATTAGGATAAACACCTCCTAGTAACAGAGACACGGGGAAAAGAGAAAAAGAGGTGACGGAAGCCAACATTTATTAAGAAACTACCTGCGAACAGAGTTCTATGCTATAAATGTCTCTTTGTGAGCCTAGTTCCCATTTTAGATTGTGAAGTCAGAGAGCTAGCTTATTCGACATCATGTGTCTCGGTTTCCTGGGACTATACGCCACTTAGCCCATTGTTAAAGGACTTAAGGAGTTAGTATGTACAAAGCCTGGCACAAGATAAGCTCTGGACAAATGTCAGCTATCATCACCATTACTGTAATTATTATCATCTGCATCCCACAGCCCCTAATACAGAGCCTAGCACTGAGTGAGGCATTCATGAGAAGCCCAATAAATTTTTTCCGTTGTGGCTGACATTTATTGAGCACTTTTTACATTCCAGCCACTGTGGTATGCATCATCTCATTATGACCTTTATACTTGCCTTATAAAATAGGTATCATTGTCAGTTTCTCTATTTATATGAGAAAAACAAGGCACAAGATGGTAAGTAACTTGCAAAATATAACAGAGATAATAAGAACATAAGGAGATCCAAGAACAGGCTTTTGATTCCAGAGTCCATGCAGTTCACTATTTCCCTGTACTGGTGAAAGCAGGGAGGAGAGGCAGCCACCTTTAGTCCTCTGCTCCTGGGGTCCTGTGGCCCAATCTAAGCCACCACCATGTCCATGATCACACCCTAACACAAAAGCATCAGAACTTTTTGTAGGCTTGAGCAGCCTCAGGGGAAGCATGGAGGCTAGAAACCCGCCTCTGAGTTGTTCTCTTGGACTGTTACTTACATTCAACGTTACTATCTTTCACAGGTTAATGTCTTGTCTGCAGAGAGCATTCAACTAACATCGATTGAGGGTCTATGCTACCTGCCAGGCACCACATCTCATCACCTTACTTAATCCTCATAAAAACTTAGGCAGGAACCACCAACAGGTCCTGCTCCTTTCTCAGAAAACCAAAAGAGCCGTGGAACACTGCAGAAAGTGATCTTTTCCATCTGCCACCGAACTGACCAGTTACTTAAATACATCTGAGTAGGGCTCAAAAAGCCTATTCTTCCCAAGTCCACAGCGATGTATTAAAAACAGGAATCATAGCTTTTAAAAAGCCACATCTAAGAGATAAAATAGGGGTCATATAGGCTAGTTCTCCATCGTCAATGATTTGGACAATGCTACACATAGCCTGACCCCAGAATTTGCACCCGTTTCTTTCCTCCAAAACTACAACCTTGCCTGATCACTCTCCCGGCAAGCCTACCACCACTGGCTTTACGTCATGTTTTCTGTTCTCTTGAATTTTTATTTAAATGTAATATTATTTAATTTTTCATACATGTGTGTCTTTTCTCCCTAATTATTAGCATGTATATTTTTTGAGAGTAGAAAATTAAGACTTAACTAAGATGGTACTCAATACATTTTTGTCAATTGATTTCGGCCCTAAACCCAAGAGCAAGTTAGGAGCCCATATATGCTTGATGTACTTTCAAAAAATGGCTAAACCTTCAACATTGTATTATTAAGGAAGAGACCTCTCGTGTTTGGATTTGTTCCGGATAATATAGGTAGAATCTCAAATCATGACGTTACCAATATAATAACATAGTTCCATGTCACTGCCCTTCTTCTTATGTATTTAGGGTCACAAAATGCAGCTCAAAACTGCAGTGACAATGTTATTTGGATTCGGGAAACAAGGTCATTGGTGACATCTAATCAACAGTCTGTTTGCTCCTCTCTGCATACAACAAGCCATCACAAACAAGCTTATTTAACCTCATGTATTTACATCATACCTGTACGTAAACGTGGCATGAATAGCAATTTACCTCCACTGTGCCCTGTAATTCTCACAAGCTTGGGCATTCACTGCTCTT